TTAGGATCGGGGCCGGGTGGCACCTTTAGGCGTCCTTTGGGTAAGGAGGGTAGGCAAGCAAATGTCTCCAGTTTTCCCTGTTCTCTTTTAAACTGTGCGTCGCTTTCTATGGGACGAGCAAAACGGCGCGGATCTGGTTGCACTTAAAGCTCTCAGAAACTCGGAGGTGCACCGAATCCGGTTCCCTGGCGAGTAAATCCCACACCTCTCCACTGTGTGTTGCCATCCGAGAACTCTGGAGCGCAATACTGTTTATGTCTACTCAGGAGTAAGTCCCGCCACGTCCCTGGTGCTTACTCCCAGATAAGTGCGCACAGGACTCCACTCTGGATTGGAGGTTTGCCCCCCCCCCTCCCTTCAGGATACGTCCAAATCCTCTGCACAAGGACTGGTAGATAGCGCCCGTGGGCTCGGTCCAGCCAAACTAAGAGTCATTTAAGAGTGAATCCGCGCCCACGGTAGCAGTTTAAGGCTGCAGATCTGTGCGTGTTTACCTGGGAGTAAACCCCATTGAACATACAGGGGCATACTTCTAAGAAAGCATGCAGAGGATGGGGTTGCTCACTGAACTCAGCGGGAGTTGGACGAATTGACGCCTCGGCCGGATTGTGATCCATAAAATTCTATATTTAATTCCTTGTTTTCATAGGTTGGTAAGGGGGAGGAGCGTCCTCTTCTGCGCATTTAAGGCGCAGTTGCCGGGGGAATTTTTATTTTTTTAAATGACCTGCAATCCACAAAGCACTTCGGGCAGACTATCCTTCTCTGGTTGGTTGCAGTAACTCCCGAATAAAGAATGTGGCGTGACAACTGAACATCTCCGAGTTTGCATTACAGGCAAGCAAAACTCCTCCCCAAATTTCGGTCTCCCCGATTCTGGAGGTCCTCGGACGGACCCGAAATACCCTTACTCCGAATTAAATCCCACTTTGCTCCCCGGCCCTTTACTTTCGACTAAGTATGCCAATGGCCTGTGCGCTTCACACCCTCCCTAATCCTAGAGTCTAGGACCTCGACACGTTTACTTGGAAGTAAATCTGGAGAGGCGCGCCTGCACACGAAAGCTTACACCCAGCATTCAAACTTTGTTGGTCTTAAAAGGTGCCACCAGACTCGAACTTGGGATCTTCCTCGCCATAGAACGGCCACTTTGGACCGGAGGAGCCGGATCCCTGCAAGGGAACGGGGTTCACACGGCGCGCTCCACCCTTTCCTAACCTTGAGCTCAGCAAGACTTAAAGGTAAAGGTAAAGGTTCCCTTGCTCGAAAGCCAGTCGAATCCGACTCTAGGGTTGCGGTGCTCATCTCCGTTTCCAAGCCGAAGAGCCAGCGCTGTCCGAAGACGTTTCCGTGGTCATGTGGCCGGCATGACTAAACACCAAGGCGCACGGAACGCTGTTCCCTTCCCACCGAAGTGGTACCTATTTATCTACTTGCAATTTCTTGCTTTCGAACTGCTAGGTTGGCAGGAGCTGGAACTAGAGACAGGAGCTCACCCCGTCTTGCGGCACACTCGGGTCTCGAACTGCTGAACTACCGACCTTCCACAGCCTGCAGTTCAGCGTCTTAACCACTTGAGCCACCGCAGCTCCTCAGCAAGACTTACTCCTGAGTAAACCCATCCAGGACTAAGCTGTGTCTACGGAGACCCCAGTCTGCCTGGGAGATCTGAACGGCCGCAGCCGCCCCCCTGCGAAGCCCTGCCGGCTAACAGCCCTTCTTCCCCCCGCCCGGGGCAGGCGTCTGGGGAAGCGGAAGGGCAAAGCCGGTAACTGGGCCCGGGGAGCACGTGTGCACGCGAGCTAGCGGGCGGGCGTGTGTGAGCGGCGCTGTCTGCTTTGTGCCGCCCTTGATTGACGGCCGCCGGCCCGCCCCTCGCCTCCATTCCTCCTCCGACGCCGCTCCGCTGCGGCGTCTTTCCCGGGCGCTTCGCTTCGCCTTGATCCGGATTCCCGGGCACCTCCCGCGGTAACGTCTTCGGGGG